TGCCGGCAATTTTTGGATTTTGAACGGGATTTCCCTTTATCACCCATTGCTGCTTACCTCGCTACAACTCGCGAACATGAACGCATAAAAAAAAAAAAAATTGCGAACGGACACAAAAGGTGTCCTAGATTTGGCAGCGGAAGCTGCTGCAGTTTTGCAAAACATGGTCTAGAACATTTCTTTCTAATCGATGTGCTTTAGCATATTTGCATGATGACTTTTTTCTTAGTTGAATAGTTGTAGAAAAGTTGTGCTCTAGAAAATGTATGCTTTCTTTTCGTTCTATTTTTACAAGTTGCGGCTCTTCCTCGCAAACATGGGGGTCTTGACGTCTTTGACGCTTTTCGTGCCGCTGTGCGTGTATCCTGCTTAGCGCAGCGCGCTTGCCATTCTCCCTCTTGGAACGGAGAGCGAAGTATTCATGGTCAGACCATGTCCGGGAATGAACTGAGCGAGCGCTAACTGGGGGAACCGTCTTCCTATAGATGACGTGGCGGTGCGAGAGGCGTTCGCGATAGGGCGGCGCGTGCCCAGGGATCACGCGAACTTTTCGAGCGGAGGCCACCGGATTTCGGCGGAGAAGGGCACTAACAGCTACTGGGATAAAAGCCCACATCCCGTTGTTCTGTTATACGCCCCTTTTCGATGCAGCCTTTTGTAAACATCCTAATATCTTTGTGAGCCGCCTCGAAGACTCCGAGGCAAAGCGCCGGCCTACGGATCCCCTGGTGGCAGGTTCGAATCCCGGCCGAGGTGCCCACAATCTGACGGAGGCTTATTGCGGAGAATTCGCCGAGAAACCGAGCTTTTGGTTTCAGGTCAAAAGATCCCCAGACGGTCGACATTTATGCTCAGTCCTCCGCTGGGGCGGGCCAAATACCCTTCATTAGTTTGGCACGTAAAGCCCCAAAATTTCGGTTTAATATCTATGTGCCTCCCAAGTATCGATCATGTCTGATGCGCTCTACAGACAAAATAAACAGAAAACTTCGTTTCTTAGCATTATTTGTGTTCCGATAATCAACTGTTAACCTCGATTTACATACTCTCAGAGGAATATCTTTAACTACGCCGTTGGATGTAGGTGCGAAAGGGGGGAGGGGGTGGAAGGGTTTCGGTTTCTCTTATTATGTATGCATTGCTATGCGTAGTTAGTGTAAGAGAGGAACTGGGCGAGCTGTGAGTGGTTCCAATCAATTCGAATGCTACGCACTGCTGGCGCCTAATTGGGTAGTTCCTACGGCGAGCGAAAGGTTTTGCAACAGATATATCACCATACGCATTAGTTCAAGGCGGAGTAGAGGGTGGAAAAAGTACGGAACTAAGCGAAACCTCCAAGCCCTTGCGCTATGATAATATACAGTTAATTGTCACTGGATTGGAAACTCGTGTGTATCTAGCGATCTTTTACTTCACATTTTTATTGAAATGCTAAACAGAACACGTACGTGCTACGTAATTTTCTCACGAATCGAGTAAAAAAATGCATTTAAAAATTGCAGACATTAATTTTTTTCTCCGGGAAATATTTTCTATAACAAGAGGTCGTCATGTATTTTTCTTTTCTCGTTCACTCCTAAAGATGTGGCTCAAGATTAGAAAGTCTCTTTCCTGATCTTCTTCATCAAATGTTCGGTAGTATTTCTAGACTTTAGATATAAAATACTGATTACAGGACTTACCAGTGTAAATACCGTGCTTTCATACCGACAATAAATTTTGGCCGACGAAATTTTGCTAGCTATCCCAAAATGGGCACAAGGGATAGTGTCGTATCATATTTGAATTGAGATAGTCGTATGTTTTAGGTTGTCATAAGAAACGGAACCTCTGAAATGTTTTAATATATATAAAACGACCTATTAGCTCTTATTAGAGCACAGCTCTTAGGCGCCCGTTTCCCGCTTGAGCGGCGACGTCGTCGCCGTAGCCATCGGCGTAACCGTGCGTTGCATTATGGGACGTTTCCCATATTGACGTCACGAGGGTTACCCTCGTGAGGGGTACGAGGGTTACCCTCACCAGGGTCAGGAGGGTTACCCTCACGAGGGTCACGAGGGTTACCCTCACAAGAACACGAGGGTTACCTTCGTGACGTCACGTGTGACGTCAATATAGGAAACACCTGACGTATGACATCACGTGTAACGCCACATGCATTTAACATTGCCAATATTCCCGCTAAATTTTTCCGGTAAATTTGGCGGAAACATATTTCCGTTAAATTCTACCCTCGTGATCTCACGTGTGACGTCTCGAGGGTATAAGTTTCCCGCTAAATTTAGCGGAAATTTTCCCTCGCTAACTTTTAAGGGGAAGGAAGAGGGCCTACCCTCCTCTCATCCTTCTCAAGAGCTGCGCTCTAGTTCGGCGTTATAAAAACTTTTGAACATCTTTAATTTTATTAAAGAATGTATAAATTAATAGCAATTATAATGACCCAGCATTAAAAATGATCTGCAATTTAGCCTAGTTAATCCCTAAAAAAATTTTATATTTATCTTTTTCTTAAGATAGAATATATTTGGTTCTGCTAGAATGAAGATGAAAATATATATGTGATTTATAATTGCACATTCGAAGTTCTGACCAACACAAATCAAATTATTGCCCTTTAGTTTTGTTTAAACTTTCTGAAACACCACAAGCCGTTCAATTAAAAATATAGGGCATTTTTCATGCACAGCGATATTACAGGAGGCTTCATTTTTATACAAACAGATTACACAAAAGGGATGAATTTAAGACGAGCGCCGTCGGCACCATGCATTTAACAGACCGTTATTTAAGGGAATAATTGTGATGGCAAGTTGACTAGGTTATTAATTTTTTAATGATTGGTTTCCGGGGTCGTGCTGAAACTGCAATCTGACGGCAATTAAAATGAGCGTCCAGAGCAATAAAAGGATTTTGCAAAAATGTAGTATTTTTTTTTAGATATTGATTAAAAAAAAGTACACGTTTTTTTTCGGCCCGATTTAAAAATTGTCCGCCAGAAACGCGCCTCGAGCCCTGACCAAAATGACGCTTAGAAGAGTGACGTAGGCGTTTCAGTAACATCGTCACTTGCGTCGTCTGCAAACCTTCGAAGGACACGCTGCCGGCATAGCGACATCATGATTGAAATAACTACGCACTCTTCTAGGCGTCATTGTGGGCAGGGCTTTAACGAAGTATAGTTAATTAGCCTACTTTCTGTGAGAATTATTTCTTCATCTAATGTCCGTCAAGCCTTATAAAAACATAGTGAAAACGGCACTCATATAACTCTCAAACCTATGAAAAACAAAGTATTGCAAATTACTATCAATCATTGTGTTTATAAAATATGGGCATGCATGATCTTTATGCAGTCATTACCTCATAATGCATCAAAAATGAAGAATAAAATACACCTATTCAAAAGTACAAATTTGATTGATTTCCATAAAAAATAAAGTATACCAGTCCCTCCTCCAATAGTTTCAGGGCAATAAAAATGCATATTTATAATAATTTTGTTTCAACACATTTATGGTGCAGTAAAGGTCGTTCTAAATATTATTGCATACAATTATAAGTTCTCAATTTACAAAAATGTTTCTTGTTTTATTATAGCGCCATGTGTTTAATAAAACCGCGTTTAAACACACTTTTTAGTGGTGTATGCACATTAAGTCTAGAGTGGAGAGCAAGCCGAAATGGCATGTTCAGAATGAATAAAATATAATAACTTGCAAGTTGTTGCACAATTGAATGCCTTTAGTGTTAACGGCGACGGTGACGACGACGGTACCTTCACGGTCGCCGTCATCGTCGGCGTAACCACCCGCGTTGCATTATGGCACTAATGCAAGCGGGCGTAACCGCGCGTTGCATTATGAAAAAATTTCCCGCTGAATTTAGCGGAAAACGTTTCGCGAAATTTCAACACTAAATTTGGCAGGAAATTTCTCCCGCTAAATATAGCGGGATAATTTTAACCCCCTGAATTCCCCTGCGAAATTCAGCAGAAACATTCACCCGCTAAATTTAGCGGAAAGATTTCCACGCTAAACTTAGCGGGAAATTTTTCCGCGAAATTTAGCGTGGAAACTTTTCCGCTAAATTAAGCGCAGAAATAGGGAGTTTTCGTAGGCCGCGTTTACCCCTCCGCTAAGCCTTCCGCAACGAAGAAGCCACTACCGCGGCTGCGCGCCGATCGCCTTGACTGTAGAATTCTGTGCATCGTAGAGGGTTGCGAAGAGCGTTGCCAGACGGCAAAAACCATCTACGAAAACTCCATAATTTTTCCCATAAGTTTAGTGCGAACATTTTTCCGCTAAATTTAGCGGGTAAACGTTTTCGCTGAATTTATCGGGGGAAGTGTTCTGCTAAATTTAGTGGGGAAATTTTTCCGCTACATTTAACGAGAAACTTTTCGTGAAATTTAGCGAGAACATTTTCCCTCTTAGTTTAGAGGGGGAACTTTGCGAAAACTTTTCCGATAAATTTAGCGGGGAAATTTTCCCATAATGCCACGCGTGGTTACGCCCGCTTCTATCATTACCATAATGCAACGGGCGCGGTTACACCGACGCCGACGGCGACGCCGCTCGAGCTGGAAGTGGGAGTCTAAGAGCTGCGCTCTTAAACGCTATTAGAAACACGCACAAGGCAGGCTGCACTGAAAAGTGAGTTGCGGCGTACACAACACACATTAATACGCACAGTACTTATTAAAACTGAATATCACAAGATCAATCGATTGGCCTCAGGATATTCATTACCAAATTACAACTACTCCAACCAATATGGCAATACTAATTCGCCTAGTTATCCTCATAGGTGTCAGGTTTGTAGTACTTTTCATTTCGAATTCACATACAGCGTAGAAGTTAGTTATTTTAGAACATGTGTCTGCTAGATATAATAAGCTTTTTTTCCGGGTTTCTTTCCGTCGTAGAGAGTAGTCGATGCGGTAAACAATAAATAAAAGCTAAATAATTCACGAAGTGACGTAGTTTTTGCCCTTGTCTCAGTTTGCAGTCTGCTGCAGCAAGGCGTCATTGCAGTAATGGGTCCCCCTGATCCGACGACCGCATTGCTAGCGAGAAAAGCCTGCGCCGCACATCGGGTGCCCCACGTGTACATGCACCGAGAACAGCATGGACCGGGACCGCCCTTAGATGGGGCCTCATTTACGCTGACGCCCAGCCCGGAGGAGATAGGAGTGGCGATTAGGGACCTTGTGACCGCTCAGCGATGGAACCATTTCACAATCGTCTACGACAAGCCAGACGGTAAGGTGGGAGAGTGCTATTGTTGAATCTCTAAAACGACATTGTGAAGAGCCTCGTTAAACTCTCATCAATTTCCAATTATTGATCTTCTGTCGTGCTGCGGCTTTCTTTCTTTCTTATGTTAATCGTTCTTGGAACTAAAAATTTCAGCCATAGGTTATGTTGAGGGAACGTTGGGAGCTCTTTAATATATATTAAAAAAAAAGAACGAGTTGAAGCGCGATCAGTAGGATCAGTAAACCATGCAATCAATCGAGGACTGCCTCAGTAATCAATTTAATATTTTTAAACTTACCATGTCTTCCATTTAAGTTGCTTCTGATTAATCTCTATTTGTTTCGGTGTGCGTTCTTACGAAAACGGAAGCTGTTTATGTCCACAGGAAATGAACGAATGATCGAAAAATAAATAAACTAATAAATGAATCAATCAATCAATGAAAGACGTGCTCCAATGTACACGATCCTTACTGTGTAAAAAAAAATCTAGAACTGATCAAAGGCACAGCAACAAAAAAGCAATTGACATAACCGGAAAATAAATTTTAATTGGAATTCCGTCTTTCACACCCACTTGTCAATGTATGATAGCCAGAAATATTTAGGCGATTGCACAGCACCAAACTCCTTAAAATCTAAGATTTTGTGTCGCACAGCCAGATGGCGTCAGGATAAATTACAAAATACACCTATTGCAGGTTATAATTATTCTATCTACATCAACTCATTAGGGGTGTGCGAATAGAGGTTAGAGTTGACTAGTGCTACATCATTAATACTATTTACACTGGAAGGGAAAGCAGCGACGTTTTACAGTGCTGAAGCTAGAAATGGTGCCGCACTTTTTGTTTCTAAGAGATATTCGCACAGCCCTGCAACTAATAAAAATTAACGACGGACCTCTAAAAAGCCAAATATGTTTTCGTTAACAAAATACAGTTACGTGAGAAAAAACTTCTGGAGGCGGCAATACGTGAGGTACAGCTTCGGAGCCCTGTATGTGTTTCCTCGCGCGTTTCTAAGAATTCAGTTATCAGCTTGATTGTTAAAATAAAAATTATAGATTTAAAAATCACGACGGGACGCGGTCAAGGAAGATAGACAGAGGCACGGCGCTATATTTATCGATCATCAACCTGCCCAACTTTCCACCTTTGTCAACTTCCTTTCTAATACATGGGGCTCTAACGTACTGTTTATCTACCTCGACCGTGTCTCGTTACGCTTTTTAAATATTATGAATCACCAACTGGCCCATCTTTCCACCCTTGTAACATTAATTGTTTCAATAAAACAACGGTTGTTATTATGAACTCTGTTTCACATTGCGCTTTATATTGAAGATTAAACTTATTTCACGCGCAAGGTTTTATTAAGCTTTTTTTTTTATATATATAAAGAAAGAGAGAACAGTCTTTGGAGAAGAAAAAAACGCAGATTCTTGCACAAAAATCAACTACGAACTGCGTACAACAAATTTGCTAGAGAGAGAAGCCAGCAGAACATGCCCACATAGAAGTGAGTTGTCAATTTTTGTGTCTACAGTTCTGTTTGCAAAATATGCTCAGTCCGTACGCAGACGCATGAATAAACATAGGTCTACATCGGAGACGTTCCACGCGTTCGTTCGCCAGGCTTTATTAACTCACCTGGAGGCCTACGTGCACAGAAACTAGCATTTGCATATGCAGGGCTTGCATAAATATAATCTCATGTAAAACTGTAAGAGACTTTCTTGTCCTCCGTCGAGTCGACATTATAATTATACTTTTCCCTGTTTTCCGACAGGTAAAAAATGCACGAAATAGAACAAAATAAAAATAGACGACAGGTATGAAATATCAGGAGAGCCAGGGTACCGGTAGGTATTTGATGAACGGAATTAACGGGGTAGGGGGAGTTCAAGGATTGCTTTAATAAAGAGTCAAGCCCACAATGGGGAACAGTTTGGTGCGCAGGAAGTTTTTTAGCGCGAGACAAGAAGAAATGGGGGGAATTCGGGCGTAAGTTTTAATAATAAAATGTACAAACAGCGTATCCCGACATTTTAGTGACGTGGAATAGTCAAAAACATCCGCGTTTAAATATTTTATTAGGTGAGAATGCTTTGTTTTAATTACAAATGTGTAATCGCCATTGCAGGACAGACAGGCGAGAGGGGCATTGGACAGCGTAATATTGAAAGCTATGCTGTCAGAAAGCAAAAAGCATTCAGGGATTTTAGATGCATATTTTTTAGCCAGTACTGTTATGTACAAAAACGCTGTGTGAACGTTTCTTCTTTTCTACTTTCGTGTCTAAAGAGTTTGCACCATACCGTATGTAACTGCGGGTACTTTTTATCGACTACGGCGTATGCATTTACTTTTACACAGACTACATATTTTTAAACATACTTCGCAAACACTTCCAATAATGCTTGTTTTTTTTCGACTAGTTTGTGTCCAACCTTTTACTCGTTTATGATGACTCTATTTTATCTCCACCAAATGTTCAGGATTAATGCGAAATGTATGTGTCCATCGGTGACCCCTTCCATCGGTTCACGAGCTGTTTAGGGGCACCAGAAAAGTCAAATAAATAAATATCGTGTACCTGGTTGTAATTTAACCCATGGGTTTATTGCATTACCCCATAAGATGAGAGACACGAATCATTTTTGACACTATTAGTTATGTTCAAAGCTTCGTCCAACGAATAAAATGGTGACTTATACGGACATATTCTTATCAGCAATTGCATGGTACTCAGTCCTTACCTGACAGATTAATTGTGGAGCAATTACTAATTCTATAAATTTTTCGATACAATATTGGTTAGCAGCGGAGCAGGTTAAATTCTTTCAGATACTGAAGCAATTGACGCGTTAGAAGTTCTTGGGAAGCGGTAATCTCAACAGCACTCATATTTCCGTCAGAATTTCATTATGCTGGCAAAATATTACGATTATTAGGTGTAAGTGTTCATTGAGTGCATTAGGTGCCTTAGGCATTGAGTGAAGTATGTAACGCTGTATAAACTTAATGGGCGAAGTTGAATTTCTGGGGAAAAGTGAGACTTGCACTTTACTTTGCTGCACTGAAAATTGGTTTTGTTTATCCACCTTCAGGAAGAATATAGCATAACCTTCATCACGTTTACACCCTGTCAGAAACGTTTATTGTGCTAAAACTTATTGGTCTTCTGACAGCTCTAATCAGACTTCGAGCCACTGTGGCTCTCTTGGCACCAGCGTCTGGCCCAGCTGTAACTGTGAGCCTTCGAACAATATTCCGGGACCAAGATCCAGCTCCCGTGCTACGAGACATCACCAAATCTGGCGAAAGCAATATCATCCTTGATATTGACGCCACCCGGTTGGGCGACGTGCTCCGACAGGTGAGTGAATCGCCGGCTTCAAAGAACATCTTAACGCTATAGGCATTAAGGAGCTCGTGTCGCAGAAAAGCCAGCGTCGGCGTCATTGGTGTTGTGACGGGAATCCCCTGATTGATCGGTGACGACATCCACATGACCTCGTGCGGGAATTTCAAACAATCAACAACGCTTACTTGAAACGTGACGTCACGCGTAGAATGAAAGTGATTGAAAAGCATGACATTCGATACGAATTAAAGGCCGGCGCATGTCTGAAATAATTTTACTTTGTAAAGTAATTTATTTGACTTAAAGAAAATTTAAAGAATTTCATGCGGGATTTGAACCTACGACCTTTCGGTTGCCAGCCAGAGACGCCAATGACTAGGCAGTGTCCGCCGCTATTTTTTTGTTGTTATTTATTACAAAAACGGAACACAAACAGTCCAATCACTTTAAAAATAAATTACCACACTTTTTGTAGAGACCATTAAAATACTTTTATCCCAAGCAAAGGTTCATAAAGGACTAGCCAGTCGGGCTTCGACTCACAATTTGAAAGAACACTTTCCACTCGCCTCATGAGGCTGAAAAGTAATATCTCAAATCGTTTGCATTGGGTTCAACATGGCGGACCACCATGCGCGACCTCCACATGCTACATAACCCAAGCAACATAATCAAATCAGAAGAAATGCCTTCGTCATTCGTTCTGTTCAACAAGCGAATGCCGGTTTGCCTAACACACAACTGTTTCTTTAGTGTACGCTGGAGGACGTCCTAAAAACGCTGCATTCTAGCAAAACATAACATTTTCGATAGTTTCCGGTTTGTTAAATAGAAGACAGTCAACCGACCCTGTTACGTAAATTCCTTGTTCCCTGAGCCACACCTTGAAAGGCAAAGTGTTGGTGTCGAACTTAAAAAAAGAAGGTTTTAACGGAGGGAGGGATACACATTCCCTTGACCCGCTTAAGCGCGCCTCGGTCACCGTGACAGATGACAGCTCTATAAAGTGGTGTTGGGAACAAACTAATCGATCAAATCACGTGTAAGCGTCTTCTTGTTCGCAGCAGACAGCTAGTCTAAAAGAACGGGTAGACAATAGTTGTACTACGTCAACCACATCTTTAAGATATCCCACGAGGCATTTTGGCTCACTGCCATGTGAGGAAACAAGGAATGACGGCAAGTGTGGTTCAAAAATTGTTTGGATAAACGCACAAATAAATAAATGCTCCGGCTGTCGCAAAAGAAAAAAAAATTGGGAGACTAGTTTTTTAACGAACAAGTGGGAGAGTCCAAGGGCGCCCGTTTGGTGCCCTGTGGGAGAGGTTGTCTGGCCTCATTCGCTCCCAATTTCATCCCCAAATGAACACAGCAAAGACACAGTGGAATTTCTGCACATTGATGCGCGCACAGTGTGTGACTTGCAGAATATACCATAGCTTTGAAATTAGAAATACTGTAAACGACTTAATTTTCGCGGGCTGAAGTTTTCGCGAATTGGGCCAAAGATGAAAATTTTAAATTATTCGCAGGTTCTAATGTTCGCGAATCGAGTGTATTTTCAGTAGCGTTCACATATTGCCCGAATTGTTCGTGGGACGTATTTTTTGCGAATTGTAGGCGATTCAGAAAATTCGCGAAAATTAGGTCTTCGCGAAACTTTTGTCATTTACAGTATATTGCAAACAGTCGTTCTGGCTAATATGAACAGATCGCACTGCTTCCAGAGGGAAGCGCGTGTGCCCAGGTCGGTGACAACTCCCGACCAATATGTTTTGTTCATTAAGGAATAGTGTAGGGGCATTTCGAAGTACGTGCAGGCCACGCAATGCCAAAACACTCCTTCAAATGCTGACGGCGTGGTGCCCCATGCACCGGGCCAAAACCAGCGGCACTTGCTTTAGTTTATGGCTGCAGCGGTCAATAAAGATTTTGCAAAATATAAAAAAAAGAACTGTCCGCAAACACTTCGCTTTTTGCCACAGAAACAATAGAAAGCCGTGTGTATAGCTCATAACTTTTATCTCGGCATCTTCCTGCCGAAATTCCTAACATTGCTCACTATAGATGACACTTAAACGGAACAACTCTAAATACATGTAAAACAATAAAGGCGACATAGGACATCCCGTCGCCCGGACGCTCGCACGCGAATCGGCTTTTCAGTTCCGTTTTAACAATGCGCCTCGAAGTGCAGTCTTAATAGGCCATTTTGGCTTCCTCCTAAATGACCTCGCTCACATTTATGCGTTATAGAACAGGAACAAGAACATCATGCTTTACATGATCAAAAGCCTTCTTGAGGTCAATTTGGAGCATAGCGATATCACGCGTGCTATCGTGACATGCCTCCAGAACGCTGCGAGCAACATGAACATTGGTCAAAATCGATCTGCCTTGAATGTATGGCGCAGGTTCGGTGGTCACCGATAATCCGACAAGCGACGCTCTAGACTCGGCGTGCTAAAATTTTAGCGAAAGCCTTATAATCTGCGTCGCACAGCGTTATTGCGTGGAACCCGTTGATTTGACGTAATTTTGCAACGTCGTCACTTTTAGGGATTGAACAGTGAAAGGACGCACGAATGACACGGCATTTCTTTCCGTTCATACGCTGTACAAACGACTTGAACCAAAACACCAGAGCCGACACTCGTACACTTCTTATAAAATTCAGTACATAACCTATCAGGCCCGGGAACTTTTCAGGTTGGCAACTCATCTCTGGCCGTCTTGATCTCTTGAATGCTGATTGAATGAGCAACACACTCCTGTTCTCCTTCCGTTAGTTGCGGCGAAGACTTTTTTTTTCACATACGGGAAACTCCTTCCGTGACCTTGGCTCTCGAAAAGCAGTCTATAATGTGTCACAAACGCTTTCTGGATAAAAAATTTATTTGTGCTAGTCGTTCCTTGATGCTCTATCTCGCCTATTTCGTTGCGGAGAGCGTATTTTGTCTCGTTTGCTAACGTCCGTTTTGTCGGCTGATCGCCCATTTGATACTTGTCCTATCGAACTCAGACAATGGCTCCGAGATAGCGCTCTTTATTCAGGTCTTCTAGTCGTTTCTTTACTTTTTCTAAAACTTTAGCAGCTACCCCGGGCGTCTCACACTCCGTTCTTGTCAGCGTTTGTAAATCAGCGTTCAAGTTACGTTCTACAGAACGCGCTTGGTATGCTAAAACCGACAACCTTTCAATAGTCAACATCTTGACTTCCTGCTTGAAAGTCTCCCACGCCTGAAAAATATTGCCTTCCGCGCTTTTAAAGTGCGGTCTCAGTTGAGCTTCCACGACTTCCACTCAAACTTCACCTTCGGTAGCGCTGTTCCGCGGATCGACGTAAAAATAAAACAATAGTCAGAAAAAAAATAGAAAACTAGAGTGAACCGTTAATTTTTAGCGTAGTTGCCATGGGGGCTGAAATGTAAACCCCGTCTAAGCACGCGGGCAATGAAGACTGAAAATGAGTAAAACGAATCTCGTACGTTTCGTTCTGCGCGGTTCAAGCGTTCATCAGAAGAAAATCTTCAATTAATTCGGCTAACGCTGACTCGCTCTTATCGTTGTACTGTCTGCATGGCGTCCTATCTATTGCTCTAACGACGGAGTCGAAATGGCCCAGAAGTACGGTTGTTCAATCACAATCCAAAAAACGGCAAAAGCCAAAAAAAAAAAAAAAAACGGTAATTTACCGTATTGAGGGTTTATACGCTGATACGTCGCCAGTGAACTGCTTAAAATAAACAAAATCACACGAAAAGAAAACTACCTTCCATATCGATGGTGACAGCTAACTCCGACAAAATCAACGACTTTTTAATAAACTAAAAATAGCCAGCCGAAAAGCTGACAGTGTGAGAAACACAAATTTTGTACGAAAAAAAAAGAAAAGGTCTTAGCGCGCAAGCTGCCTGCTCATCAGACACCGTGGCTTCTTCCACCGCTATGAAATCGGGTTTGTCATTAGCTAGTAGTTGATATTGTTTTTTTTTTTTTGGCGCACTGAAACCTTGAAAACTCACACCGTCAATCCTGATGAAAACCTATTATAACAACTCATGCCGTGCTTAAGTGGGGCAGTTGCCTTAGCGTCCGCGCGAAATTAGTCGAGAAAAGGCGGTGACCGTCTTACTTTGAGTCGCGTTGGGTCCGCACATCAGGGCGGGGTCAGTACCTTCTTTGTCTCGTCCTTCCTCTTTGTTAGGCTTAGGAGTTACACAACCCCGAGAGGGCCCGAGGTCGTCGAGCCCGCGCTTGATGGAATTGCTGGTCTAATCCATGACACTGGAAAGCTCGAGTGCCTCTTCCTCGGATCGCGGGGAGCAGCCAATGGTTCGGGCTTCGAAGTTCGCGGGTGACACCGCAGCCCAGGAAGCTTGAGCGCCAACCGTCACAGGGTATAGAACCGCCGATTCGTTTCCACTTTTTGCGACCCGGCAGCTGACTTGAGTTCGAAACCACATACCGCAGACTTCGCCTCCCCTGCATCCATGGTGTGCGTTAGACTTCTTGCGTCGCCGGTGCTCCGGTAGCCCGTGCGTAGGCCTTCGGGCATTCTTCTTTGTCGTGTCCGTAACGGAAGCACTCGGAGCACCTCGGCACACGGCATTCGCGCCTGATGTGCCCGGTCTGCTCCCAGTACAAGCAGACCGACGCGCGTCCTGGAATTACGATGAAAGCGCCGAAGACCTGGAAGCGTAGCTGGTAGGGCATCCCGTCTGGCGTCACGACGTTCCTAAGCGTCATGTGTACGATGCGCGTGGTCGACTCGATTCATTCATATCTGCTAAAACGCAACTTCTTTCTGTTGACCTCGATGACCTTGCGGAAGGACTCAAAGATTTGCCGAACAGTGTCGTCCGGCACATCGAAGGCATCGTCCGTCACGTGAAAATGAGTGGCTTTTCTAGAAGCTGTTCATAACAGAGGAATCTGCCGGCGTACAGCAAGGTCACGAACATCGATGAGTGCTTTTATTCAAACATAACGTAATGAAGACGGCAGGATTA